GGCCCAAATAAAAAAGAAATACACTCTGTAAGATTCAAAACATTCGGGAGGGAAGTGGGTGGGGGGTGGGTGGGGGGGGAAACAATGAGGGCAAGCGAGAAAAAAGGCTAGCCCTTTTTTCTTTCGACAATTGGACTCGTCCAAAAAAAAAAAACAAAAAAACAAAAAAAAAAAAAGACTACAGTAGTCCCCACTTACCTGTACCCCTCAATTCGGAACCTAGATTGCAGAAATCGACGGCCAGAAATGAACAACTTCCGGACGATCCGTTGAAAGCGGAACGAGGCAGAGATTACACGCATACTCGCAAAATCCGCCCTCGCTCGACTACTCACCATATGAACAAAAAACAAGAAATACGCCGGTGCATCTTTCCATGTTCTACCGGAAGATTCATTCTCATTCTGAGCCTTTTTGGAACTAGTGGAGCGAGGTCCATGGTCCAATCAAAAAACGAAAAAGGGAAAAAGAACTAAAAAAGGTGTGCTTCAGCCCACCACGCGACGGCCTTTCCAGCCGAAGTACCCTAAACTCAAATAAACAACAAAGAAGCAAAAAAAGGGAAAGTACCCTAAACTGGCCCTAACGTGTCAGTGGACTGTCAGGCGGCGCAAGCTCCGATTTGTTTTCGATGTCAAAGCCGAAAATAAACAGAGGCCGATCCAGTCTGGTAGTCGTTGAAAATTTGAATTTTGCCCGCCTGTCATCTACCTGCCCACTACTATCTTTGCTGTTTCTTTTTTAAAGTTGTTTTGCTGTTTTTTTTTTTGTTTTTTTTTTTTTTCCCTATCTTTGTCAATCCGTTATCTCCGTTACCGGGAACAGTCCTGGATCAAGTCAGAAAGGAGGAGATTTGGGATGAGGAGCAGCATGTTGTGAAGAGGATCTCCAATCAGACGTTAAGGTCCTGTAAACTGGATCCAGGAGGTTGGGGATGGAGGGGTAGAGGAAGAAAGGGTGAAACTCTGCTCTTGTATCAGGGCCTTCGAAGTGCCTCAGTTATACCACATCAGAAACTTCCGATAGCAGTGGCTACTGAACGATGGGGCACCAGGCCAATAACTCTTCCAAGTACCTTTAATGTAGGCGTTCGGAAACTCTGGTCTCAGCTTAAACTACTTCCTTCACAGAAACATGCGGCAATTCTGTGGCAATTATCACTCTTAGTCACCCCCTCGGCCGTTTGGCTGGCAAGTAAAGGGATGGAAATCAGAATTTCATGCACTCGATGTACCTGGGCTTTTGAATCGACCTGTCATCTCTGGTGGGATTGTCCTGCTTCTAAAAGAATTTGGGACTGGTGGGCCGCTCATTGGTACGATTTTGCGGAATGGGAATGGGCTTGGGACAGGGATTGGGTACTTCTTGGCATCCTACCTGAAGGCATGTCGAACGCTGATAGTTGTGGTTATGTAGTGCAAGCATGCAGGGCGTTAATCTTTTCAGTCATCTGGGACTGTAGGAACAGAGCGTGCTTTCAGGGCAAGGGTACTGCAGATACTGAAATCAAAGCAATGATTCGTTCAAGACTGAGACATTATATTTTGGCAGATTGGAACAGGAAAAGGTGTGAAGGAAACAGGTTCAGCAGTAACTCTCGCTGGTTTCTGAGAACTTGGGGTGCGGGGAAAGTTAATAATTGGCTAGTTAATGTAGATGCAGAAGGAAAATTAGAATTTTGCTCTTGGTTGGTCAAAGGGGAGTAGGCTCCAACCTCAGTACTCGGTTATTTACTGTCGCAGGAGGCAGGCAGTAATGGGGGAACTTTTGTGGGGACAGGATGGAGTACTTAGGAAGGTCCGGGCGTCTAGCAGTCCGGGGCAGACCTGCGCTTTAGCCCGGTTTCCTCCTTGTTTTATTGATTCTATTGGTTCTTTTAGTGTAGAGGGCAGTTAGGAACAGTAGTTATGAAGAGCAGAGGGCTCGACTTTTATCCCAGACAGGAAAACGCTCAGGCCAGAGACAGAGTATTGCAAGAACAACTCGTCCTAAGCAAACTAGTGCAGATTCTGGCAGGCCAGTGAGTTTGAGTTTCCGGATTCGTTCACAACCGGGTTGTTTGTTGAGGATTCTCGGCCTCGGAATTTTTCTGAATAAAGGATCCTCCACCTTTTCCCGAAAAAAAAAAAAAAAAAAAAAAAGTTATCTCCTATAGTACAAGTAGCGAATTTGTTGTTAACGGGCGACTGTCAATGCCGCAGCGCTACGCCAGTCGAGGAGGGAAAAACTTCCAAAAACAGATACCGGCCCAGTCGAGCAAAAAAGGTCGAGGGGGGAAGAAAAAAAAGGAGGGAAAAAAAAAGACAACGTGCTCCTCCGCCATGCTATAGCTAAATAGAGGAGGTGTATTAAAAAGATAATACGACTTAAAAAGCAATAGAGGAGGTGGACTGGTTTTCGCCAACTGTTTGCGTTAACTGAGGGCATACTCGCAATACGACTTTTCGTACTAAGCTTTTGGCGTGATTGCGGTCAGGTTCGTCCGGGTCTTGCCGTCATCACGGTCAGATTCATTTAGAAAAGTCCTATAGTCCGAGTATGCCAGGAGCACGTAGTCGTGGAGAAGGGTGGGAGCGAGAGAGAGAGAGAGAGGCGGGCAGCAGGCGGCCGCGGCATGCTGAGGGTTGTTCCGCACCAATTGGTGCAGCTCCCCACGACTACCTTCGTCCCCCGAATACAACGTACGGTCATTATAGCTGTATTTGGGGTATCTTTCCGTCTACATACAGCTTTCAATGACCGTTCGTTGTATTCGAGGGAAGAAGGTACCAGAATGGAACCATCGACCGAGCCGGGGCCAGGTCCCACTAGCATGGATAAAGAGATTTACGCCGTCGATCTCCGTTATCTACGGCCAGTATCACTTAATCTGTGCAAGTGGGACCTTGCGGTTGGTCCTCCACTCAAGGGGTTCCCGTCGATGCTGTGAAGGCCCGCACATGAAGGTGGTTTGGATTGACATCTTGCCACCCAATGCCACGGGACTTGGGTCCGTGAACCGAGGTCGTACGGGTTGCATCCCAGAGACTTGGTCCACGGACCCAAGTCCCGTAAATCACCGCCCCCCCCCCAACAATGTTGGACTGATCACAAGGGATACTGCCCTGGATCTCTTTCCACCTGCGATCACCAAAGAATGAAGTGTGAGCTCGTGAGGGAAAGAGCCTCGCTCCAGGGGCTCCACTACTTACAATAAGCACAAAAGACAAAAACAAAATGGCGGTGTTATCTTCAGATATTCATGAGAGAAAGATAAAGGCTCACACCATTTTTTTTTATTTTTTTTTTTTAATTTGGACCGTTTCTCGATTTATGCGTGTCATCCTTGCGCAGGGGCCATGCTAATCTTCTCTGTATCGTTCCAATTTTAACGGATGTCCCGAAGGACCCATTTTTTTTTTTGGAACGGGGGCAAACTCTCTTTTGTGAGAAAAAGCGGTGATGGAAAAGTCAGGTTTAAACTTTAAGTTGTATAGACCAACAGAATTCTTCGGATAGGGAGGGAGGGAGAGAGGAGGCCGGGGG